GCTTCTGAGATCTGACGAGATCGGGCTAGCCTGGGCCATCCAGGTCAGGGTGTACGTCCATTAGGGCTGTTTAAATACCCAGTAGAAAGCAGGGCAGCTGGTGTGTGTGTCTGGAAGGGGACTGTTATACAAGGAGGCTGTGTAAGACAAGATCCAAACAAAAAGGCTGCCTTGTTTTACGCCAGTCTCCTTCTGTAACACCCCCACACACACATACACACATTCAGGGCTATTTTTGTGCAGGAACGCACAGGAACGGAGTTCCGGTTGGCTCCTGAGTTGGCCACACCCAGCAGGAACTCATTAGCATAATAGGCCACACCCAACAGCAGAAACTCATTAGAATTGGCTACATTAGGGGTGTGTGGCCTAACATGCAAAGGAGTTCCTGCTACAAAAAAAGCTCTGGGATTTGACAACAAGGTAAACAGAATAATAAGAAAAAGGGGTGTGTGGCTGGATGACCACACTTCTGGTAACATGGGGGTGTGGCCTAATATGCTAATGTGCTGTGCTGTCAAGGGTGTGGCCTAATATGCTAATGAGTGTCTGCTGTTGGGTGTGGCCTATTATGCTAATGAGTTCCTGCTGGGCTTTTTCTACAAAAAATGCCCTGCACATACTTTTTGACTAAGTGTTTAAGCAGGCCTAATGGATGTCTGTCCTGACCTGGATCCCCCAGGATAGCTCTGTCTAAAGACTTACATATGTATTGCGACTTAATATTTTGTGAACCGAAGTACCACTTTCTTATCCGAAGCTTAAATGGTTGTCCTGCATTGGCAGAAAAATTATGCGTACAAATAGAAGACAGGTGAAGGTCCTTGAACAAAGTTTGAGTCCGGCGGCACCTTTTAAGACCAACAAAGTTTAATAATGGGTATCAGCTTTTGTGTGCACGCACACTTCTTCAGATACCGAGGTTCTGTTATTCCCGTATGTGTACGTATATCTCTCTGCCAACTGCCAATGACACTTCATGCATCTGATGAAGTGGGTTCTGTCTATGAAATCTTACACACACAAGGTGTGTTTGTCTTGAAGGGTCCACTACATTATCTGCACTGTCTTATCAAGATGGGCCGGGCTCGCACATAGCTCAGCTTTTTGCTCCAAGTGGTACCAATCATGCCTCGGAATTATATTTCTCCTCTGTCATGCACGCTGCTTCTGGAAGAAGATACCCAGGTTAGAGACCAAAACATATTCGCAACCCAAAGGTTCTCAAATGAGTTGTCCTAGCCTGACACTTCGCTGGCAAAGAAATATCCAGTTTTACATCTTCCAAGTTTAGTTTAGTTTTCCCTCAACATGATCGGTTCTAGAGAGATGGGTTAAAGGATGTTTGAAGAGAAGAACAAATTACTAAATGAAGGATGTCGATACGAAAATCCAGAAAGCCGAATTCAGATCCCGGTATATTTCCCCCACCTATCAAATGTGTGAAAGTCCATGAATGTTAGCTGCACAATGTGTCTTTTGTAGGACAAGCAAAAAGCATTCATACAACTATTAAGAAGGCTGTCCCCCTTTTTGGAAGACTTCATGCAAGGAGAAGCGGGCTTATAATTCCAGAAACTCCCGTTGGGGCTTGACTTTTAAAACACTGATGCAAAATTGTCTGGTAGTTAGCAATCTGTATGTACTGAATGTTATTGCTTATTGAATGTAATGAATATTTATACCTGACTAGGATGAAATAATGATACTCTATGCACAGCGTTCCGTGCGCCTTGGTGTTTAGTCATGCCAGCCACATGACCATGGAAACGTCTTCGGACAGCGCTGGCTCTTCGGCTTTGAAACAGAGATGAGCACTGCAACCCTAGAGTCGGATTCGACTGGCTTTCGAGCAAGGGAACCTTTACCTTTACCTTTATGCACTTTACTAAATGATGACCATAAATAGAACACATTAGTTTGTTAAAAGGTTTTTGCCGTGTATATTTATTTGTTACTAGACTCTCCTAACACTGCAGCTCAGGTTACTTCAACCTCCAGGTAGTGGCTGGAGATCTGGGATTACAACTGATCTCCAGGCAACAGAGCTCAGTTCACTTGGTGAAAATGGCGGCTTTGGAAGGTGGGCTCTAGGGCATTAGACCCCACTGAAGTCTCTCCCCAAACCCTACCTTCCTCAGGCTCCACCACCCAAAATCTCGAGGCATTTCCAAACCGGGAGTTGGTCGCCTTACATGTAGTCCAGATTTCTTTCAGATCATAGAATCATAGAGTTGGAAGGGACCTCCAGGGTCATCTAGTCCAACCCCCGGCACAATGCAGGGAATTCACAAATACCACTACAAATACCTGTAGTGACCACTGTTCCATGCCCAGAAGATGACAAAAACCCTCCAGGATTGCTTCCTGACCCCAAAGTGGCAATCAGCATTTCACTGGGCATGTAAGAAAGGTCTACGAGAACTAAGCACTGAGGCAACCCTCCCTGCCCTCCTTCTCAGGATCTGCCTAAGTTCACAGGATCAGCATTGCTGTCAGATGGCCATCCAGTCTCTGTCTGTCTACCTCCAGAGAGCCCCCCACTTCTCGAGGAAGCCTGTTCCACCGAGGAACCGCTCTGTCAGGAAGTTCTTCCTCATGTTTAGCCGAAAACTCTTCTGATTTAATTTCAACCCGTTGGTCCTGGTCTGACCTTCTGGGGCAGCAGAAAACAACTCCACACCATCCTCTAGATGACAGCCCTTCGAGTACTTGAAGATGGTTCTCATATCACCTCTCAGTCGTCTCCTCTCCAGGCTAAACGTACCCAGCTCCTTCAACCTTTCCTCATAGGACTTGGTCTCCAGACCCCTCACCATCTTCGTTGCCCTCCTCTGGACACGTTCCAGCTTCTCTATATCCTTCTTAAACTGTGGTGCCCAAAACTTAAGACAGTACTCCATATGAGGTCTAACCAGAGCAGAGTCTCTCTCTCTCTGTCTCTCCTGGATGTCTCTCTCCTGGGGGACCAATATCTTTCTAGGAAGGCTTTCCACTGGCAGTTTGAGGTGGGAATTTCCACAGGCCTTTCACCATCATCTAACCTACACTCTACCTGAAGGATTTCAGACAGTAAAAGTTCCAGAAAGGCAAATCTTAAAGCTAGGATGGTTAAGTTCTTCCTGACGGGAGCGGCAGGAAGGTCCATCCAATGACGTGTCCAAGTCACTGCCTGTGGGACCCAGAAGTGACATCATCATGCCTGGAACGTTGGGGCAACACTCTGGTATTTGGGCAAAAGCTCTATGGTAAATTTGGCTTCTACCATAGAGTTGTCACCCAAATACCAGAGTGTCGCCCTGACATCCTGGGTGTGGTGGCAGCACTTCCAGGTCACATGGGCAGTGATGTAGACGCGTCACTGCAAATCAGAAGTATCTCCCTCTTTTGAGGGGTAAGTTCCCCCCTGCTGACCAGCTGATCGGTGGCTGGAAGGTGGGGTCTGGCAGTGAGGGACCCCGACCTTCACCAGGGGGTCTGGTAACCCTACTTAAAGCCTAGTTCCTACAAAGATCAGAGGAGGTAACCAAACCTGTGTCTGAAATGTACCACTTGAAGATGAAGAGCCTGAAGCTTGTATGATTGTGTTCCTCCATGCTTATATATATATTTTTAAACTCCTCGCAAGAAGAAAACTAGCAGATCAGGTTAAAATGCTTCTCATTGACATTTGGTTTCTGAGTGAAGACAGTTATTTCTGTATGGAGCAGCTTCAATCATGCAAACCTGCTCCATCTCTTGACTGCTTAGGAAACTTTCCTCCAAGGAAAAAGAGGATGGCATACGTCAATCTTACTTTCTTTCAATTCCTCCTCACAACACCCCAACAAGTTTTGAGAAAGAAGAAGAAGAGAAGAAACTGGATTTATACCCCACCCTTCACTCAGAGTCTCAGAGTGGCTTACAGACTCCCTTCCCTTCCCCTCCCCACAACAGACACCCCGTGAGGTAAGTGGGGCTGAGAGAGCTTTTTCTAGAACTGTCCTTGAGAGAACAGCTGAGACAGAACTATGGCTTGCTCAAGGTCATCCAGCAGCTGCAAGTGGAGGAGTGGGGAATCAAACTCGGTACTCCCAGATTAGAGTCTGCACTCTTAACCACTACACCAAACTGGCTGAGAGAATGACTGGACCGAGGTTCACTCGTATTCACGACTGAGTGGAACTTGAACTCGGGTCTCCCAATTCCTAGCCTGACACTCTAACCATGGTGCCCGCCTAAGTGTTTCCTGCTGCCCATTTCCTTTTCCCCCAAAGCAAAGAAACAATCCTCTTTCTCCTCCACTTCCCAGAACAGTAAGTGCTTCCAGAGAGTCTAGGAGGCTCCATCCTTGTGTCGGATGAGAGGAGCCATGTGGACTTGGCTTGGAACCTCCTAATAATTTATGGACGTTTTATGATTGGATCCAGGCCTCATGGCAGCCATTTTGTGACTGAACCCAGCTTTCATGGCAGCCATTTTGTGTCTGAACCCAGCTTTCATGGCAGCCATTCTGTGTCTGAACCCAGCTTCCATGGTGGCCCTTTTGTAGGGTTGCCAGGCCCCCAGTCCGGTCGGGGGCTCCCCCGCTTTTGTGGGCCCCTTTCCGCCACTGGGCAGCTGGCCGGCAGGGGAAACCCGGCCCGCAAACACCCCCTGAATGTGATGATGACATCACCTGAAGTGATGTCATCATATGGCTGACATCACATGGTGAAGTTGTAGTTTTGGGGCAAAACTCTATCGTTTGAGCCCAATTTTACCACAGAGTTTTGCCCAAAAACTAGAGCATCACCCCCGACATCATCCACATGATGACGTCACTTCCGGGTGACATCATTGTGGTGTTCACACAAAGCACACATGCCAGAAGATCCCAGGACGGATCCTAGAGCCCCCCGCTGGCAGCCAGGTAGGATTTGGGAACCCTACCCCTTTGTGACTGAACCCGGCTTCCATGGTGGCCATTTTGTGACTGAACCCACTTTCCATGGCGGCCATTTTGTGACTGAACTCACTTTCCATGGCGGCCATTTTGTGACTGAACCCACTTTCCATGGTGGCCATTTTGTTGTGTTACCTGCTACCTGCTGTCTTTCAAAATATTAAAAGTACCCTGTGTCTAGACAGCACCACCTCCAGCCTCGGAGAGTCATATAGTGATGAGGTTATAAGCGAGGGCTCTCCAACCTTGTTTTGTCCTTTTTCAGCATCCCGTTTTGTGACTGAACCCAGCTTCCCTTGTGGCTGTTTTGAAAAACATGAGCCCCCTCCTTGAAACAGCAAGTTGTCCAACAGGGACAAACCCAAAGGTCTCCATCACTATGGAGGCCAGACATAAAGCGGAACGGCACTTGACGGGCTACGACGGCACTGAATTCGACACTGTCAGGCACAAGATGACAGAGAGGCAACTGCACCCGTATCCTTGAAGGCCCAGAATATCTGCTGCTTCCATCTACTGCAGCTCTTTGACTGATTTTGCCCGGTTCTAGGTCTGGGGACCGCAGTTCTTTTCTGTCTCCGTAGATAAGGATCTCAGTTTTCTGCCTGGGAGGCCCAAGGTCTGGTTCTGGGGCCTCTCTCTCAGAGGGAGCCCAGTAGGCCCAACTGAAGAAGGGAATGGCGTGAGGAGCCCGGTTCTAGGAGGCCCGCTTGCTGTCCAGGATGGCCTTCCAGTCGTCGGTCCACGAGTGGAGCCTCCTGCGAGGAGGGGGGAGCTCCAGGTGTTTGTTGTGGCAGGCCGTGAAGAGAACCTGCTCCCAGCTGGGGTTCCTCTCAGCACCTGGAATGCAGAGAAAACCAAGTGGATCAAGACGTGGTCCTCGTGACACCACGGGGAAAGCTGGTTCTGATTCACACACTAACTTTTACACATGTGGAACGTCATCGTGGGGAGAGACTCAGCGTCCCACACATTTCTCAACTGGCTTCTTTTTTTACATTAATGAATCAAGTTTCTAGCCCTCATGGGTGAAAAGATTGGTGGGATTCTGGGAATGATCTCAGCGAAGCCCAGTAAAAGCTCAGAAAGGTTTTGGGATTGTATTTTATTTTTTTGCAGCTACTAGGGAGTAGAGTTACAGCTGCCAATCTCCAGGTGAGGACTGGCGTTCTCCTGGAATAAGAACATAAGAGACGCCAATGTTGGATCAGGCCAAAGGCCCATCCAGTCCAACACTCTGTGTCACACAGTGGCCAAAAATACCAGGGGCCATCAGGAGGTCCACCAGTGGGGCCAGGACATTAGAAGCCCTCCCACTGTTGACCCCCCCCAAGCACCAAGAAGACAGAGCATCACTTGCCCCAGAGCCCCTGTCTATACCTTGTGGCTAATAGCCACCGATGGACCTCTGCTCCATATGCTTATCTAATTCCCTTTTGAAGCCATCCATGCTTGTAGCCGCCACCACCTAATTATACCTCATCTCCAGGCTACAGAGATCAGTTTCCCTGGAGGACATGGGAGCTTCAGAGGGCGGACTCTATGGTATAGAGCTTCAGAGGGTGGAATCCGTCTCTAAATTTCCCCTTCCACAGGCACTGTCCCCAAATCTCCAATAATTTAGTGGGGGGGGGGGCACAGCATCGAGGGAGAAGTTTTTAGGCCTCAAGTACTTACAAGAACTTGGCACACAAAACGACACAGCTAGCTCTAGGCAATTCCTAGAGCTGTCCTGGAAGTTAGTTCTAGGAATCACTGGAAATTCTATGGTAAAATCATAGAGTTCCTGGGAGTTCCTAGAGCAACCTTTGCCACTTCCTGTTTCAACTTCTGGTAAGTACATGGGGCTTCTTTTTCTTTTCTTAATTTTTCTTCTGCCCCCGCTCCAAGCGTTGACGGGCAACAGGATCTACGGGAAAACATATCTTTCCTTCTTCAGTGCTGGCATTGTGTTGTGTATCCTGGGACATCTCATAACAATTTGTCTAGTCATGGAGTCTTTAAGCCAAAGTGGCACACGGTGGGCATCTGTTACCCCCTTTCTTTCTTTTTCCAAATCTCTTTTTTGCCCGGTCGCATCCACAGGTTCGGTAGGTTTTCTACCACTTTAATCAATCACGGGACATTTTGACTGACTAAAAAGATGCAGCAGGTTTTGAATTCTTTTTTTAAAATATTGTTTTAAAGACAAGTGCTTATTTAAAAAACAAACGGGCAGCTGGACGAGGTGCCATCTTAGAAGAAGCGTTCCTTCCTGAATCGGGAATGCCCCTTATAATAAAGGGATGCCACCTAAAACGCAGGAATGTGTCCTCAGAAAATGAGAAGCAATCCCGTTTTTCTTTAGAGTCTTGTCGTATGCAAATATATGCAAATTGCACTGATTGCCCCGCTAACATTGCAGTCTTGAGGGGAGTTACTCCAGTTTCAATCCCGCGGGTTTACAGGTTAATCCTAAATAGACCAACTCAGATTCTCTTTCGAGTCTACTCTGCGGTGCTTATTCCCGGAAAGTGTATTTAGGATTGCACTGTTGTAGGACTCATTCTCCTGGGAAAGTGTTTTTAGGGCCCTGTTCATACGGAGAAATTGCCGCGCTAAAGACACGGATGATAGGCGGATTTTCGGTGCGCGATCACACCGCAACATCTGGGAAGCGTAGCACACCCGTGGCTAACCCGTGGCTTCTCACCGAAGATGCGGAGTAAAAAACTACCAGATACGATGTACTAGTTTCCGGGAAACGCAGGGCAAGGGCGGGCATCTGATCGTGTTTCTGCTTGAATCCCGTGGCATCCGGCGCCCGTCCATGTCCCATCGCACACCAGATGGGGTTTTTTTGTAAGTCTCCACAGGATGCACACAAATGATCATGCGCATGTGCAAACTTCGGTGAGAGAGAAAAAATCCCGTTTGCCACGGAAGCGGCGCCTAGCGATTGCCGGTGTGATCGCACCGTGCCGCTTCTTTGCCGCGCTGCAGCCTAACGGCCTAACCCCGGGACCTTGACAGGACATGTGATCGAGCTGCCCCGCGTTACTTTGCTTCGGGGCAAACAGCCACGCTCCCCCCCCCCCGCATTTTCCGGCCCATGTGACCAGGACCTAGGATTGTGACGGTAGAGGGGAATCATTCTGCATAAGAATGCAGCCATAAATAATTGACTTTAAAATTCTTTCCGGATGGGGCAACCCAAATCTAAACAAACGTGTGAACGATCTGTCAGCTCTGCTTCTCACGGGAAGCATGCACCAGCCCTACCCCAGGGTTTCCATACCCTACAACATCCCGTTTATCTTGCGCCGGGCCAGCTTCTTCCTTACCTACGATATCCGGTCTGTCGTCGATCAGCAGGTCGCCGGAGACCACCGTTTTGTCTCGGGTGAGGACGATCTGCTCTAGGAATTCTGGGCCCAAGTGCTTCTCCACCCAGGCGTACTGGAAAGCCAATGAGTTCAGGTGGAAAAGATGCAGGTACACCAGCGGGGTGTGGTGATCAGAATGTCGGGCTAGGTTCTGGGAGACCCCGGTTTGAACACCCCCCCCGCTAGTCACTGCCTCTCAGCTTAACCGACCTGGGGGAGGGGCCGTGGCTCAGCAGGAGAGCATCTGCTTGGCATGCAGAAGGTCCCAGGTTCAATCCCCGGCATCTCCAGTTACAAAGGACCAGGCAGGAGGTGATGGGAAAGATTTCTGCCTGAGACCCAGGAGAGCTGTCAAGAGGGGCTGTGGCTCAGTGGAAGAGCCTCTACTTGGCATGCAGAAGGCCCCAGGTTCAATCCCCGGCATCTCCAGTTAAAAAGGACCACGCAGGAGGTGACGTGAAAGACCCTCCACCTGAGACCCTGGAGAGCTGCTGCCAGTCTGAGTAGACAATCCTGACACTGATGAACCGATAGTCTGATTCAGTACAAGGCAGATTCATGTATACCTTGCAGAGTTGTTGTGTGAGGAGAACAGTGTTGCGAGCCGCTTTTGGGTTCCCATTGGGGAAGAGAAACGGGGCATAAATATCTAGCTAAATAAAATTTCCCTCATGGCGTCCTGGTCAGAGCAGCTTGCTGCTGTGCAAAGAGCGCTTTCGAGAGCGGGATTCGTACTCTCTGATCCAAGATGGTTGGACAGTGGGAATCGGAAGATGTGAGGCTTTCCTATCTAAGCGCCACCCCTTCTTACGGGACAGGAAGAGTTCTGTGTACACACACACACCACACTGAGTGCATTTGACGAAAAGGTTGATCGGATTGGACCTTGGCATCAATCGTATCTCGAGCCCCTTGGCCCGTAGTCCGAAGGGAATTCTTTTGTGTCCTGCAAATCCTGCTGCTGATTTCTTACCTTCTCATAAGGGCAATAGCGGTACTTCTTGATCGGGCTCGTGCAGATGAATACATCGGTCCTGTCCCAGAGAAAAAGAGGAGGAGGAGGGTGAGAAGAAATATGCACTTGTATGTATTGAATGCATTACACTTGTATTCTAGCCTTTCTCCAGGAAGCCAGAGGAGGAGGAGGAGGAGGAGGAGGAGGAGGAGGAAATTGGATTTATACCCCGCCCTTCACTACCCAAGGAAGTCTCTGAGCGACTTACACTCTCCTTTCCCTTCCCTTCCGGACAACAGACTCCCTCTGAGAAAGGTGGGGCTGAGAGAGCTCTGAGAGAACTGCTCTTGAGAAAACAGCTCTGAAAGAACTTGTGACTGACCCAAGGCCACACCAGCAGCTGCATGTGGAGCAGTGGGGAATCAAACCCGGTTCTCCCAGCTCAGAGTCCGCGTTCCTACCCGCTACACCAAACTGGCTCTCGGTTTGGCTCTCAGAAGAGCCTTGCTGGATCGGATCAGTGGTCTGTTCTGTTCAGCCTTCTGTTTCCTACGGTGGTCACAAGGCTGGCCAAGGACGCAGAGATCAAAACATCCTTCTGCTATTCCCCACCCTGGTGTACTGAACATGGAGGTTCCACTGAGCCATGTTTAGGGGAGGGGCCGTGGCTCAGTGGCAGAGCCTCTGCTTGGCACACAGAAGGCCCCTGGTTCAATCACCGGCATCTCCAGCTAAAAGGACCAGGCAGGACGTGATGTGAAGAACCTCCGCCTGAGACCCTGGAGAACTGTAAAGAGGGCCTGTCGCTAAGTGGCAGAGCCTCTGCTTGGCATGCAGAAGGTCCCAGGTTCAATCCCCAACATCTCCAGTTAAAAAGGACCAGGTAAGAGGTGATAGGAAAGACTTCCACCAGAGACCCGGGAGAGCTGTAAAGAGGGGCCGTGGCTCAGTGGAAAAGCCTCTGCTTGGCATGCAGAAGGTCCCAGTTTCAATCCCCAGCATCTCCAGTTGAAAGGACCAGATAAGAGGTGATAGGAATGACCTCCACCTGAGACCCTGGAGAGCTGTAAAGAGCCGTGGCATGCAGAAGGTCCCAGGTTCAGTCCCCGGAATCTCCAGTTAAAAAGGACCAGGCAGGAGGTGATGGGAAAGACCTCCACCTGAGACCCTGGGGAGCTATAAAGAGAGGCTGTGGCTAAGTGGCAGAGCCTCTGCTTGGCATGCAGAAGGTCCCAGGCTCAATCCCCAGAATCTCCAGTTGAAAGGACCAGGTAAGAGGTGATAGGAAAGACCTCCACCTGAGACCCTGGGGAGCTGTAAAGAGGGGCCGTGGCTCAGTGGAAGAGCCTCTGCTTGGCATGCAAAAGGTCCCAGGTTCAGTCCCCGGAATCTCCAGTTAAAAAGGACCAGGCAGGAGGTGATGTGAATAAACTAAAACCCTGGGTGGGTTGCTGCCAGGCAGAAGAGATGAGGCTGACCTTGATGGACCCAAGGGCGGCTTTATGCGTTCATATGCAGAGGCAGTAAACTTTGAAACATTACGCACGGGTCTGGGGGATTGTACAGAATCAATCCGTTTGCCCAGAGCGGTCTGTTTTGGCCTGGTGAGGGAGGATCTTTCTCTGCCTGCTTGCCTCTGATAATTGAAAGCAGAGCTGCCGAGGGCTGTACCTTCGCTGTGCAAAGGTTGCTTGCTCTTGCAAGCGCAAACCTAGACATCAAACACCAAAGGATGTGTGGGTGTCTCCAACCCCATGCTTATGACCCTAAGGTGCACGTGGGGTGGGAATTCACAGGGGCGTTTACAGGGAAGAAGTGGTACTGGGGAAGGCGTCCTCACTTTCCCCTGCCTCTGGTCTTCACTTTCCTTTTCTCCCTCCTGCTGGCCTTTGCCTTTCACTGCCTCTGGCTCTCTTTCCTCTTCACCCTCCCTTTGGCCCTCCCTTTCATCTTCACCCTGCCTCTGGCTCTTGCTTTCCCCTGCCCTCTTCTTCTGGCCTTCACTTTCCCTTGCCCCATCCTCTGCCCTCACTTTCCCTCTCCTACTCTCTGACCCTTGCTTTACCTTAGCGCCACCCTCTGGCCCTCACTTTCCCCACCTCTTCCCCCTGGCCCTCACTTTCCCCTTCCTCTTACCTTTACTTTCCCTCGTCCCACCCTCTGGCTTTCAGCTTCCTCTGCCTCCACCCTCTGGCCCTCACTTTCCCCACCTCTTCACCCTGGCCCTCACTTTTCCCTTCCTCTTACCTTTACTTTCCCTCGTCCCACCCTTTGGCTTTCAGCTTCCTCTGCCTCCACCCTCTGGCCCTCACTTTCCCCACCTCTTCCCCCTGGCCCTCACTTTCCCATTCCTCTTACCTTTACTTTCCCTCATCCCACCCTCTGGCTTTCAGTTTCCTCTGCCTCCACCCTCTGGCCCTCACTTTCCCCACCTCTTCCCCCTGGCCCTCACTTTCCCCTTCCTCTTACCTTTACTTTCCCTCATCCCACCCTCTGGCTTTCAGTTTCCTCGGCCTCCACCCTCTGGTCCTCACTTTTCCCAACTTCCACCCTCTGGCCCTCATGTTCCCCTTCCTCTGCTCTTTACTTTCCTTCACTCAACCCTCTGGCCCTCACTTTCTTCTGCCTCCACCTGCTGGCTCTCACTTTGTCCCGCTTCCACCCTCTGGCCCTCACTTTCCCCTTCCTTTGCCTTTCGCTTTTACCCACCCCACCCTCTGGCCCTCACTTTCCCCCTCCCTACTCTCTGACCCTCACTTTACCTCACCTCTACCCTCCGGCCCTCACTTTCCCCTGCAACCCTGCCAAATTATGGTGACCGCAGCAAGGGGCTTTCAAGGCAAGTGAGAAACAGAGGTGGTTGGCCCTTGCCTTCCTCTGCAGAGCCTTCCTTGGTGGCATCCCTTCCAAGTTCAGGCCCTGCTTAGCTTCTGAGATCTGAGGAGACTGGGCTATGCCACGCCGTCTTCCCTCCCAGGATGTCGGCCTATGGCCCAGTAATACTAGTTATAACAATTGTGGTCCATCAAGTCACAACTGACTCATGGTGACTCCAGGACCGAGAGGTGAGCAGAGGTGGTTGGCCATTGTCTTCCTCTGCAGAGGCTTCCCTGGTGGTCCTCCATCCAAGGAACTGAGCCTGTTCAGCAGCCAAGATCGGGCTGTACCATATCATTCCACATCCCTAGCTTCATCAGAGGGACTTCTTAAAATCCTGGTTCTGTGGTCTCTCTCTCTCTCTCTCTCTCTCTCTCTCTCTCTCTCTCTCTCTCTCACACACACACACACACACACACACACACACACACACACACTCACACTCTCCTGCTGGTGGGGATTCTCTTTCATAAGCTTCTCGCACCAGGTACTCACTTTTCTAAATTTGCCATCTGCTTCACAGCTTCCACTGCGCCTGGGAGCGGATCGAGGTCAATGAAGAAGTTCTTGGACTCCCAAATGCTGATGGCCTTTTCCTGTTGGAGGGGGGAGAAACAAATTCTGCAAAATTTCACACACACCCCGCTCTTCCCTTCACAACAGATCAGAGAATCCGAGCGCTGCCACAGTCTGGAATTCAGGGCAAAGCAGGAGTGCGTCAAACTTGGACTCAGACCCTCCCCGCCTTCTAAAAGCTACACCTCCGTCCATGTTCCCCCTCCAGCCTGACAGACCTCAAGATCCCTGCAAGTGTCTTGAAAACAGAGGTGCAAATAGACAAACCCATACTGTAGGGCAGTGATGGCGAATCTTTTAGAGACTGAGTGCCCAAACTGCGACCCAAAACCCACTTATTCATTGCAAAGGGCCAACACGACAATTTAACCTGAATACTGAGGTTTTTCTTTAGAAAAAACAACTTAAAATGATCCAAAGTAAGGAAAGCAATCCCAAATGCTTTCATTTACTTAAAATTATTTGGCAGAGAATTCCACACTTTAATGACGATCTAGGCCTGGCTGGGGCGATGGCACGCGTGCCCACAGAGAGAGCTCTGAGTGCCACCTCTGGCACCCGTGCCATAGGTTTGCCACCACTGCTGTAGGGAATCATTGGTCTCAGCCTTTTCGACACCATCCTGTTGGAGTGAACAACTCAGCATGCCTGGACATTGGGGGGGGGGGGCGCTACATCACTCTTAAATATTTTATTCATTTATTTATTTATATGTTAGAATTGTGAATCGCCCGATCCCTGAGTACACAGAGCTCAAGGCAAGGTACAACGAAGTTAATAACATCAACATGACATTGTTGAAATCAGTCAGTCATTCGTCACTGTATTATTAATAATCTCAAGATGGCGTCACTGATTTAATTTTAAACCCCTCTCCGGTCTGTGTCGCCACCTCTCCGGCAGGGTGAGTTGGAGGAAGAAGAACAGATTGGATTTGTACCCCACCCTTCATTACCCAAAGGTGTCTGAGAGCAGCTTACAAACTCCTTCCCCTTCCCCTCCCCACAACAGACACCCTGTGAGGCAGGTGGGGCTGAGAGAGCTCTGACAGAAACGGCTCTTTTTCAAGAACAGCTCTTATCAGAACTACGGCTTGCCCAAGGTCATCCAGCCAGGTGCTAGTGGAGGAGTGGGGAATCAAACCCGGTTCTCCCAGATTAGAGTCCGTGCACTTAACCACTACACCAAACAGGAGGCCAAAGTGAGAAGGTGGAGGAAAAGAGGAGGGTGCCAGGTGAGATGGAAACCGTTGCTGTCCTCAACCAAAGGCCAGGCTCGGTGTTATCTTCTTGAATGGGATGCCTCTCTTTGTCGTAACCTGGGAGCTGCCCTCTGACCCCTCCTCCCTTTCTCTTTGTCGTCTCCCTCTCTGCTCATGGCCTTCCATGGAGACAGAAGTCTCTATAGATCTTTCCCATAGATACAGTGCCGTCATACTCCCATATGCATGGTGCCAGATTAGGTGGCTGTTTGTGAAAGGGAAAGTACTCCTTAGATGAGGCTTCTCTCTCTCCTTTTGACTGCAACATGAATGTGAACTGGATCTACTTGAAGGAATGTACGTTTATACCTTCTTTTTTGCCATGTACTTCTTGGGAGATTTATTTCCTGCACTCAGGATCACATTTCTGTGACTGGGCAAAACTCTGCTCGACTAACCAAATATCCCAATACATGCCACCGAATCTTTGGGCATGCTTTCTGTACAGAAATTGGTGCTTAGGTGTATTTATTTAGCATTTGTCATAGGGACCCTATGCCTCTAGTCTGGGCCCTTCGACACTGGCTTCCAATTCATTTCAAGACACCATTCAACGTGCTGGTCTTGGCCTTCGATGCCCTTTATGGTTTGGGACCACCATACCTGAAAGGCCGCCTACTCCAGTTTGGCGTAATGGTTAAGGGCGGCGGGCTGTAATCTGGAGAACCGGGTTTGATTACCCACTTCTCCACATGCAGCCAGCTGGGTGACCTTGGGTCAGTCACAAGTTCTCTCAGAGCTGTTCTCTCAAGGGCAGTCCTCTCAAGAGCTCTCTCAGCCCCACCTACCCCACAGGGTGTCTGTTGTGGGGAAGGGAAGGGGATTGGAAGCCACTCTGAGACAACGAGTGAAGGGCGGGGTACAAATCCAATGTCTTCTTCTTCCCTTGTGAACCTGCCCAACCACTACAGTCATCTTCCAAGGCCCTGCTTCGGTTGCCCCCACCTTCCGAGATCAGATGGGTGGGAACTTGGGAGAAGGCCTTTTCGGTCGTGGCACCAAAGCTCTGGAACTCTCCGCCTAGGGAGATTTGTCCATCCCCTTCTGCTGCCGTCTTCTGCCAGTGGGCGGAGACTTTTTTGATTGGTTCAGCGCTCCCTCAATGATCCCTCCTTCCTAACCAATGTTTTGTATGTATTTTAACTCTGGGCTTCAATTGTTTTAATTATGTGCTTCAGAGGGGCTCATTTTAACAGTCTTTAAATGTGATTTGGATCATCTTTGTTTTAGACTGTTAGCCTCCTCGGGGGCCCTTGTGAGGGCAGAAAAGTGGGATACGAATTGCATAAGTAAAATTAATTAATTTGATATGTATCTGTCCCCCTCCATAGAAGAAGAAGAGATTGAATTTATACCCCGCCCTTCACAACCCAAAAGAGTCTCAGAGCAGCTTACGATCCCTTTCCCCTCCCCACAACAGACACCTTGTGAGGTAGGTGGGGCTGAGAGAGCTCTCTAGAGAACTGCCCTTGAGAGAACAGCTCTGAAAGAACTTATGACTGACCCAAGGTCACACCAGCAGCTGCAAGTGGAGAAGTGGGGATTCAAACCCAGTTCTCCCAGATAAGAGTCCGCGCACTTAACCACTACACCAAACTGGAACCTGCTCAAGAAGGGCTCAATATGCATTACAATAAGATTGTTTAAACAACATAATAAAATGAGGAATTCAAAGAAGCCCCTGGAAGGTTGCTAGTTGACCATGGGGCCAGTCCACCCTCCTTCAGCCTGGTCTACCTCACAGGGGGGTGGTTATGAGGATAACAATGGAGGAAGGGAGAGGGATGCTGTAAGCTGGTTTGGGACCTCGTTGGGGAGAACAATGGGGAGATTAATATCTAAATATGTCTCCTGCTGGGGGAATTTCACACTGTCAGAGTGGTGTTTCGAAAAGAGATGACTACGAGGGGACACAATGGAGGTTTATAAAATTATGCACGGGGTGGAGAGAGTTAAGAAATTTTTCTCCTTCTCCCAAAAGGCTAGGACTGAAGGGCATCCAATGAAGCTGAAGGGCAGTAGGTTCAGGCGGACAGACAAAAAGGAAATACTACTTTATACTGGGAGTGATTAAAATGTGGAATTTGCTGCCAGAGGATGCAGTGATGGCCACAGGAACAGACAGCTTTGAAAGGGGATTAGATAGATTCATGGTGGAGAGGTCTCTCAATTGCTACTAGCCATGTTGACTGAGGGGAACCTCCACATTCAGAGGCACTAAGCTTCTGAATCCCAGAGCCAGGAGGCAACATTGGGAAGGCCTCAGTCTCTACGCCCTGTTGTTAGACCTTTAGAGGAACTGGTTGGCCACCATGTGAGAGAGGATGCTGGACTAGATGGACCCTCACTGATCTGATCCAGCAGGGCTCTTCTGAGGTTCTTATCAGGGAAAGGCCTCAGCCTCTATGCCCTGTTGTTGGCCCTCCAGAGGAACTGGTTGGCCACTGTGTGAGACAGGAGCCTGGACTAGATGGACCCTCACTGATCTGATCCAGCAGGGCTCTTCTGAGGTTCTTATCAGGGAAAGGCCTCAGCCTCTATGCCCTGTTGTTGGCCCTCCAGAGGAACTGGTTGGCCACTGTGTGAGACAGGAGCCTGGACTAGATGGACCCTCACTGATCTGATCCAGCAGGGCTCTTCTGAGGTTCTTATCAGGGAAAGGCCTCAGCCTCTATGCCCTGTTGTTGGCCCTCCAGAGGAACTGGTTGGCCACTGTGTGAGACAGGAGCCTGGACTAGATGGACCCTCACTGATCTGATCCAGCAGGGCTCTTCTGAGGTTCTTATCAGGGAAAGGCCTCAGCCTCTATGCCCTGTTGTTGGCCCTCCAGAGGAACTGGTTGGCCACTGTGTGAGACAGGAGCCTGGACTAGATGGACCCTCACTGATCTGATCCAGCAGGGCTCTTCTGAGGTTCTTATCAGGGAAAGGCCTCAGCCTCTATGCCCTGTTGTTGGCCCTCCAGAGGAACTGGTTGGCCACTGTGTGAGACAGGAGCCTGGACTAGATGGACCCTCACTGATCTGATCCAGCAGGGCTCTTCTGAGGTTCTTATCAGGGAAAGGCCTCAGCCTCTATGCCCTGTTGTTGGCCCTCCAGAGGAACTGGTTGGCCACTGTGTGAGACAGGAGCCTGGACTAGATGGACCCTCACTGATCTGATCCAGCAGGGCTCTTCTGAGGTTCTTATCAGGGAAAGGCCTCAGCCTCTATGCCCTGTTGTTGGCCCTCCAGAGGAACTGGTTGGCCACTGTGTGAGGCAGGATGCTGGACTAGATGGACTCTCACTGGTCTGATCCAGCATGGCTCTTGTCATATTCTTAAACTGATCTGAATCTGACGAAAGTGAGCGTTTGCAGCTCCAGAAGCCTCTCAGTGCTCAGGGGAACCGAGAAATACGGGAAGCAGGATTTCATCACGCATTTGCAACCTTTGAGCAGCCCAACGGTCTGCAGGACAGTAGCCTCAGATGTGTAAAGGGGCAATGATGTAAGAACTCCCGAAGAACAGCCTCGAGTGAGCTGCTATGATAATTTCCCCTCACCTTTTTCCTGCATTGCAGGACTTTAAAACTCTTCGACCCACTTCTGACAGCTAATTGGACCACACTGCAGTGCAGTGCATTAATTGGACCACACTGCAGTGCTGTGAAACCCATTAATAATGAGCAGCTAATGTGTGTGATGCCTTGACTTGGCTGGCCCAGGCTAGCCTGATCTCATCAGATTTTGGAAGCTAAGCAGGGTCGGCCATGGTTGGTCCTTGGATGGGAGACCACCACCAAGGAAGTCCAAGGTCGCTACGCAGAGGCAGGCAATGGCAAAACCACCTCTGTGTGTCTCTTGCCCTAACCTGGATGGCCCAGGCTACCTTGATCTCATGAGATCTCAAAAACTAAGCCGGGTCAACTTCAGTTAGTATTTGGATGGAGACCACCAAAGAAATCCAGGGTTGCTACGCAGAGGCAGGCAAGGGAAACCAGCTCTCTTTGTCTCTAGCCCAGTCTCATCCAATCTCAGAATCTAAGCAAGACCAGCCCTGGTTATTACTTGGATGGGAGGTCACCAAGGAAGTCCAGGGTGGCTATGCAGAGGGCAGGCAATGGCAAACTGCCTCTGCTCAAAAACTGTACGGGATCGCCATAAGTCAGCTAAGAGTTGATAGCACGTCCCACCACCACCATGTACGATACCAGAAGCTGCAATTGTCCGTCTCGACAGTTTCTGTCAAACTGTTCAACTAAGTTGCACTCAGAAGACCTTGTTGGAATAATTCAGTCCCTATCCCTGTTTAATTGACAAAAGGTCTGCATAATTTCACGTGTCAGGTGAATGCATCTGTTTCAGCTCGGTTTCCGCTCTCTGTTTGGATTTCTGCAGTCTGAACCCGACAGAGTTCACGGGTACGTTCCATTCCTGTTCATTTACATGCTGTGCGATCCTCCTCAAGCCTCAGAGAGAAAGGCATATAAATGAGGTAAACAGATAAAGAGAAAATTGCTTGTTGATTTGGACGTTAAGGTGTTCAAAGTCGCCAATGCCTGTCTTAATAACTCACCTTCCCCCCCCCCCCCAGGGGCTGCCCCCTATGCCAGCAAAAGGAGAGATCAGTTTGGTGTAGTGGTTTGCAGCGTGGACTCTAATCTGGGAGAACCGGGTTTGATTCCCCACTCCTCCACTTGCACCTGGCTGGATGACCTTGGGCAAGCCATAATTCTGTCAGAGCTGTTCTTGAGAAAGAGCAGTTTCTGTCAGAGCTCTCTCAGCCCCACCTGCCTCACAGGGTGTCTGTTGTGGGAAGGGGAAAGGAAAGGCGTTTGTAAGCAGCTCTGAGACTCCAACTCCTCCTCCTCCTCCTCCTCCTCCTCTTCTTCTTCTTCTTCTTCTTCTGTGACATCAGAGCAGCTGAGCCAATAGGCATTGCAGCTCTGCCTGTCCAATCGAATCACTCTCTGCTTTAGCAGTTCCATGGGCTGGGAGTATGGTAATATACGATTGAGTCAGCTGCATACTGGACCAAGACTTCAGGTTGCCAGTTCTAGGTTGGAAAATTCTGGGGCCACTTTGGTGTAGTGGTTAAGTGTGTGGACTCTAATCTGGGAGAACCGGGTTTGATTCCCCACTCCTCCACTCGCAGCTGCTGGATGACCTTGGGCAAGCCATCGTTCTGATAAGAGCTGTTCTTGAAAGGGCTCTCTCAGCCCTACCTACCTCACAGGGTGTCTGTTGTGGGGAGGGGGAGGGAAAGGAGTTTGTAAGCCACTCTGAGACTCCTTCGCTGGCCCATAGCTAACATGGGGCCCACGGGGCCTGGCCCCCTAGTGTATCTTCTGGGCACCCTCCCTCCCAGGCTGCCCCCAAAGTGCTCCAACACCACCTGCACTGTAGTTTAATTAGCTGGTGGGCCCCCTGAGGCCTCCTCCCCCCAAATTCCCTAGCTACAGGGCTGTTCCTTTGGGTAGCGAAGGGTGGGGTATAAATCCAATCTCCTCCTCCTCCTCTTCTTCTTCTTCCTCTTCTTCTTCCTCTTCTTCTTCTTCTTCCTCCTTCTTTTTGGGCGATGCATGAGGAGGGTGGAATTTGGGAAGCAGGCCCGTAGCCAGGAATTTCTAATTCGGGGGGCATTTTAATTCTTCAGGGTGCACTAGCTAAATCAATTGAGAAAAAGAAGAAGAATTGATTGGATTTATACCCCGCCCTTCACTACCCAAGGGAGTCTCAGATCAGCTTACAAAATCCTTTCCCTTCCCCTCCCCACAATAGACACCCTGTGGGGTAGGCGGGGCTGAGAGAGCTCTTGACAGAAACTGCTCTTTTTCAAGGACAGCTCTTATCAGAACTGTGGCTTGCCCAAGGTCATCCAGCCAGGTGCGAGTGGAGGAAGAAGAGGAGGAGATTGGATTTATACCCAGCCCTTCACTACCCAGAGGAGTCTCAGAGTGGCTCACAGACTCCTTTCCCTTCCCCTCCCCACAACAGACACCCTGTGAGGTCGGTGGGGCTGAGAGAGCTCTGACAGAAACTGCTCTTTTTTCAAGGACAGCTCTTATCAGAACTACGGCCTGCCCAAGTTCATCCAGCCAGGTGCGAGTGGAGGAGTGGGGAATCAAACCCGGTTCTCCCAGATTAGAGTCCATGCACTTAACCACTATACCAAACTGGCTCTGTTGGTGTAACTCACACATTCAGGTGGCCCCAGAGAGAGGTGCAGTGCAGGGGGAAGGCAAGGAGACGCGGCGGCACAGGGGGAGTTTGTGGCACCAAGTGCCGCCACTGGACCACCACCAAGCTGCCATCTCCGACGGTGGATTCGATCTGGGTGAGAGCTGGCCCTGGGAAGACGACCAGACGACCTGAAGAACTGGTCATGAAGGGACGATAGTAATAGATTCCTGAACTTATGCTGACGGGTTAGGCCGGTCAACGGAACCCCATCTTGGACCGATAGGAACTAATATCAAGAGCACCGGCACTTTTGTGGGAGGGATTGTTTTATTCTGTTTTTACCTGTTCAATTATGGCATATGCCTCTTTTGTTAGCCGCCCTGAGCCTGTTTGGGGAGGGTGGGATATAAATCTAATAAATTAATAAATAAATCTTGGTGGGGGGGCTGGGTTGAAAGAAAGTTGGGGGGCCTTGGCAGGAAGTCAGCGGGCGGCCCTCCCAAATGCCCCACTGTGGCTACGGGCCTGTTGGGAAGTGGGGGGAAGCTCAGTAGGATTGTGATGGGCTTCCCTTTCTCCACCCAGCTGCCCTGGGGTGAACTGAGATGTGCCATTATACAGCCCTACCATGACTTTGCCTATCAGAAACTGCCTTGTCACCCGAATGCCATGAATAATAATGCTAATAAACAATGTCGTGATTAGAGTGTCCGATGAGGATTCAGGAGACTCGAGTTCGAATCCCGGCTCTGCCATGGAAACTGGTTGGGTGACCTTGGACCAGTCCACACATCCTCAGCCTGACCTACCTCACAGGGTTGTTGTGAGGGTAAAAACGGAAGAGGGGAGAAGGAGGCCAGCCGCCTGGGATCCGAATGAAGGAGAAAGGCGGGGGGGGGGTCTAAATGAACTCAATAAAATCAAATTAAAAAAAACCACAGACTCACACTCAGCTCTGGCTCCAGCTGCCGGTACTGCTCGGAAACCCAGAAGCCCCTGCGATCCTCCAGGGAGATGTAGGGCTTGTCCGGGTAGGTGGCCCGAAACTTCTTCAGGAAGCCCCCTTCGAAGTCCGCCAGCACCCCGTCCATGTCCACCAAGACCCGCAGGCGCCCGCCGCGGGGTGCGCTGCCCGAGCTGGCCCTCCTGGGGGACAGGCAGCCGGTGGCCAGGGCGAGGAAGGGGAGGGAGCCCCGCATGGCTCGCTGCGGGCGCAGGATCCGGCTCATGAAGGTCATGGCTGGCGGGAGGGGAAGGCAGAGATGGGGGCGATCAGCGCGGTGAAGCCCATCCAAGCGCCTCGCTCCTCCGCCCCTGCGCCTTTGCGCATTGCGCTCGCCGGCGGAGGCGAGGGGGTCGAGCCGAGCCGCCAAGATCTGCTCCCCCTTTCTGCTCTCCGGCAGCACCAAGTCCATCTCCCGCCCCCGGCTTGCAGAAACTCCCCTCCCCGCGCCACTTTCTGCAGCAAAACATGCCCTAAGGGGCCGAGAGGATGGAGAGGGAGGCCGGTCTCTGCGGAGCCCTGAACATCTGGGGAGGGCAGCTGTGCGCAAGGGGGAAACGGGGGGGGGCGTCTTGCAAGGGTGCAGACGGGGGGGGTGCCCTGCAAAGAGGCGGGAGAGACGCCGGCTTGTCAATTGCCTTTGCCCCGTGTCAATTTCAGGGCAGCTCGCGCGCAGGAAGGGACGCGAGGAAACCCTCCCCGGGCCAGCGGGCTGGTCAGTTTCCCGCGAGCGTGTCAGTTTCACGCCAGGCCGGCCCGACAGCTGCTGCGGCGGTCGAGGCGGCTGCGCCTTCCTCTCCTGGGGCGCCCGAGCCGACAACCCGGCAGTGCTCGGCTTCTCCTTCCCGGGTCCAGGCGGAGGACTGGCAGCCGCAGGCGCCGCCTCAAAGTCGGGCTTGCTCCTGGCACCGACTGAGAGACTGTCGCAGCTGCTCGCAGGGGAAATGCCGGGGGTTGGTATATCTCGATTGCATTCCTTTCAGACCTCTGCAAACGATAGTTGGAGTCCAGCAGCAGCGCCTTAGAGACCAAACAGAGTTTCAGGGCATAAGCTTTGGAGGGTCAGAGCTCCCTTAGTCAGACAGGCGTAGGAATAGAGATTCTTCCGATTTTCAGGAGATGAGCTTTCCAGAGTCAAAGATACAAGTGGGATATAAAGACTCAGAGAAGCTCATCTCCTGAAAATCTGAAGAAGTGAGCAGAGATTCACCAAAGCTCTGCCCCTGCCACGAATTTTCTTAGTCTTTAAGGTGCTACTGGACTCTTGCTCTTTTCTACTGATACAGATAGACGAACATGACTACCCATCTTGATCTATCTCCATGGAAGGCTCCACATTGAGCAGTACAGAATGGAAATCCATCAGACTTGTGATATACGGACAGATAGGCCTCCATTTTAACTGTATTTGAGGAAGCGAGCAGTGACTCACGAAAGCTCCTCCCCTGCTACAAATTTTGTTAGTCTTTAAGGTGCTATTGGACTCTTGCTCTTTTCTACTGCTACAGGCAGACTTACATGGCCACCCATCTTGATCTACCAGAAAATCTGGTGGGTCTCAAAGGTCCTACTGGGATCCAATCTAACTGTTCTTACAGATCTTTTCTGTCCTCCAGCTCCTGCCTTTCTGCTGCACCCCCCCCCCCGCCTTTCCTGTGCCTCAAGCAGCCCAACAATGGAAACCAGGAGCAAACTGAAAAACCTGTTGGCTCCTTTTATTTATTTGTTTTACTTCATCCATACCCCATTCTTCTGGCCAAAGCGGCTTACAATGTTCTCTTCTCTCTTCCATTGTATCCTCACAACAACCCTGTGTGGTAGGCTAATCCAAGAGGAAGTGGCTGGCCAAAGGTCAGTCCGTGAGCTTCGGGGGGATTCGAACCTGGGTCTTACCCAGAATTTATTTATTTTTATTCTATTTAATGCTGTCAGTTTAATTGCTACCCCATGCAGGTTGGGGCTCTCTTCTGACTTCCACTGGGCACAGAATTGAGGCTGCTGTGCTAGGGGGCATGATAATTCTATGGGGAGGGGGGCAATTGCTGGTACATTATTATTATTATTATTATTATTATTATTATTATTATTATTATTATTACCACCTTCCCCCACCAAAGCAGGGCTCAGGGCTGTTTTTGTTGTTCAGTTGCACAGTTGAGTCTGTCTTCCGCCGTCCTCTGAAGTTTGCTCAACTTCATGTTCGTTGCATCTGTGACACAGTCTAACCATCTCATCCTTTGCCATCCCCATCTTCTTTGACCTTCAATCTTTCCCAGCATCAGGGTCTTCTTCTCCAGTGAGTGCTCCCTTCTCATTTGGTGGCCAAAGTATTTGAGCTTCAGTTTCATTATCTGGCCTTCCAGGGAACAGTCAGGGTTGATTTCTTGTAGCTTATTGAAAATATTGATAGCCCCTCTCTCATCTAAATTAGCTATTGTGGTGGTCTAGATCCTGATGTTTTGGTTTTTAGGCTGCCTGTCCGCAACAGCGACAGGAATACTTGTTCAGCACTGAGAACCACGTGAGAATTTTATCACAAGCTGAAAGAGCAGCATGTGTTCCATACAGTTAATACTGTTACGCTTATGCTGTGATACTTGGATTGCAGAGCTGCTGACCACCAAATGCTTCTTAGCCATGCCTCTGTCTGTTATTATGCAGCACCTGCTTATGAATGAATTTACCATTAATATCAATATTAAACAAAAACGTTTTCCGTGGCTTGGAGTATCCAGTGTCAACAAAATATAGTTTTGATGGAAGAGTACTCATAATATTAAAAATTCCAAAGTACTACAATGAAACATTTTAAAAATGTTTCTGTGTTGAAGATGATGGGTGGCAGAGAGCCAGTGCGGTGCACTGGTTAAAAGTGGAGGACTGTAATCTGGAGAATTGGGTTTGATCCCCCACTCCTCCACGTGAAGCCAGTTGCGTGACCTTCGGTCAGTCACACTTCTCTCAGAGCTCTCTCAGCCCCACCTACCTCACAGGGCGTCTGTTGTGGGGAGAGGAAGGGCAGGAGACTCTAAGCCACTCTGAGACTCCGAGTGAAGGGTGGGGTCTAAATCCTCCTCCTCCTCTTCTTCTTATTCACCAGCCACACGAAGTGCCAGTGCATCAATAAACTTCACATTCAGGATGTCTGGCTCGAGGTCAGTGATTATACCGTCGTGGTTGTCAAGGACATCGAGGTCTTTCTTGTATAGTTCTTCTGTGTATTCTTGCCATCTTGTCCTAATCTCTTCTGCTTCTGTTAGTTCCCTATCGTTTTTGTCCTTTATCATGGCCAGCTTTGCATGAAACGCTCCCTTGATTTCTCCAATTTTCTTGATCTCTAGTCCTTCCCATTCTATTGTTTTCCTCTATTACCTTGCATTGTTCATTCAGGAAGGCCTCCTTATCTCTCCTTGCTGTTCTCTGGAAATCTGCATTCAGTTGGGTAAATCTTTCCTTTTTGCCTTTGCCTTATGCTTTCCTTCTTTCCTCTGCTATTTGTAAAGCCTCATCAGACAGCCGCTTTGCTTTCTTGCATTTCTTTTTCTTTGGAATGGTGATGATTGCTGCCTCCTGTACAATGTCACGAACCTCTGTCCATAGTTCTTCAGGCACTCTATCTATTAAATCTAGACCCTTGAATCTATTCTTCACCTCTACTGTATATTCATCAGGGATGCGATCTAGGTCAAACCTGAATGGCCTAATGGTTTTCCCAATTTTCTTCACTTTAAGTCTGAATTTTGCAATGAGTAGCTCATGATCTGAGCCACAGTCAGCTCCAGGTCTTGTTTTTACTGACCTAAAAAGATGACACCCCCAGCTCCTGTCAAGTAAACCGAAACTCCTTCCTGACCAATGTTTTAATTGCTGTTTTTGTACCTTTGTACCCATTTTAGCTCTGTTTTAGCTGGCAATGAGTTGGATGGATTGCACTGTTTTTCTTTGGTCACTGAAATTGGTGAGCATGTTAATTTCCACGGATAGGCCTGGAGGGGAAAAGGGCATGCCCAAGGCCTGACACGCATAATGGAGATAGGAATGCAGAATGCGGTCCCAGCCCTTCGTTGTCTCCCCACTGTTGACATTCAGATCGAAATTTCTCATGGCGGAACTCTGCTGCCCCGACCTGGGTAGCCCAGGCTCCCCCAATGCCGTCAGATCTCAGAAGCTAAGCAGGGTTGGCCTTGGCTAGTATTCGGAAGGGCAACCTCCAAGGAACACCAGGGGCGTGATGCAGAGACAGGCAACAGCAACAGCAAACTGCCTCTGAAACATCTCTTGCCTTCAAAACAAGTATAGCTCACCACCTAGTGGTACATAATGCTAAAGAGCTAGAACTTCTGACTAATCCACTTCTCCCAGAGACTCAGATCTGCTTCCGATGGCAGTATACATGACCCTGGGGCCGAGCCTGTGATGCCTTCTCAGCCTGACCTACCTCACAGGATTGTTGTGAAGTTAAAATGAAGGCAGTTACAATGTGGTAAACTGCCCAGAGCTCCTTGGAGGGAAGGGTGGGATTTAAAAAGCACAAAATAAATAAAATGATACCTTGTGTGCCTACAGTGTTGTGCACAGTAAATGGTTTTCTACATAGTGTTTTGTAGACTGTTGTGCATAATAACTGGTTTCCACATATTCTGTTCCTGGATTCCACCGATTTACTTTTGGGACAAAGGGAAGCAGGGTGGCTAACTCCAGGTTGGGGAAAATCCTGGAGATTTAGGGGTGGAGCCTGGGGAGGCACCTCAGCATGGTATAATGCCATATTCCATGGCACATTTCCCCCAGGAGAACTGATTTCTGAAACCTGGAGGTCCATTGCAATTCCGGGAGATCTCCAGGCCCCACCTGGAGGCTGGCAACCCTGGCAGAAACTCGACATTTTAAACCTGCAACCACACACCATAGTGTGCCTGTGACGCCACAGTGTTGTGCGTGACATCACACTAGCACTGAGCAATGCTCCCTTCTAAGCTGCGGAATCTTGTGAGCAAAAATTCTACTTTGTGAGCTGCTGGCATTAAAGTTGTGAGTGAGCGATTAGGCTGCTGCATAAATTAGCTTGCTCTGGAGCTGTCCCGAGCTGAGACAAAAATCTGTGAGCTGGAGGCTAAAGAACTGTGCGCTAGTTCACACTAACTCAGCTTAGAGGGAACACTGGTGCTGAGCCACCGGCCTAGGAAACACATGGACAGCCGCTTCGGCTTTTCCTCCCTTCATTGCCGTCGTGACGGCATTCTAAGGCGCCTCCTCCCGCCCAGCCACTCCTGAGTCACAGCGGCCTCTGTTTCCCAGGCCCGCGCCACTTCCGGGTCTTGAGGGGTTGCCGCGGCAACCGCCCTGTCAAGGCCCTCCGCCGCGCGCCGGAAGTGACGCCGGCGGCGCTCGGCCCGACCTCGGCGCGCGATTGGCCCGGCTGGGCGGGCGGAGGCGGCTCCTTCTTCCCGCCGTCCCCGGCGCGGACCCCGCTCGCTCTCTGCGGCCTCCAGAGCCGCCAAGATGGCGTCCGCCCTGGAGCAGTTCGTCAACAGCGTCCGGCAGCTCTCGGCCCAAGGTGAGCGGCCGCCGCCCGGGGAGGCCTCCTCCGTCCCCCCGGGGCGCCTGCGGGGCCCGGCTCCGCGTCTCTCTGCCCGCCGGGCGGCTCCGGGGCTCCATCTCGGACCCCTCCCGCCCTCAGAGGGCTGCGGGGGAGAGTGCGGGGGGGGGGGGGGGTTGGGGGTGGCTCCGTGGTAAGAGCCTCTGCCTGGCAGGCAGAAGGTCTCACGTTCAATCCCCGGCAGCATCTCCAGTTAAAAGGACCAG